AATTCAGGTTTGAACTCAAGTCTGACCTGAATTCTCAATTGCCTTACCTTCAGGTCTTGCTACCAAACTGCTACCAAACTGCTTTTGGGGAATAGCAGATCTGAACTGTTGCAGGTCTGCAACTGCAGAATTCAGATATGAGTTTTGACCCGAATTCTCAATTTCCCCTCTTGTTGTTCAAAAGATCTCCCCTTTTTCTTCTTTTCATTTTATATATAATATATATATTTCTTTTTGTAATGGAAAAAAAATAAAAGGCTGAAACACAAGCAATTCTTTTTGGTTGAATGCTGCAGATCTGAGTTCTGCTAATCTAAGTGTCGAATGCAACTCAGATCTGCAACACTCATGTTTTTGTGAATTTTTTTTCTCTTGTTTTTTTTTTCTTTTTAAAGGTAACAGCTCCAAATTGAAAGGAAAACAGATCTACCTTTATTAAAATGAAACTAAAACAAGGAAGTAATCTACTGAAGAAAGAAGAGACATAACTACAGTAGTACAGCAATTGCATTCAAAGCTAAAATATAAAAATTGAGCAAATTAAACCAACTATGAATGCAATGCTGAATGAGACCAGATTAAGAATGCTCAATGTTACCTAATATTGTTTCCCTAAATCCCCGGCAACGACACCAAAAATTTGATGTGGCTCATTGTGACACTAGCAAGTGTACTACTAGCCATTCAAGTAATAAAGTAGTGAGTGAAGTATCGTTTCCACAAGGATTTAGGAAACAATTACCAATACTAAATTGGGCACTTCTTATCTRATCAACAATAAATCAAAACTTTATTCAAAAGCTAAAAATCCTAAACTAAAATCTATCTAAATTATTGCCCCAATTGCCTTCAAATAGATTGTGATTAAGCCTTGGTTTGGAGAAACCCCAAGGTCATGAAAAGCCTCTTTCGAGTGCATGTTCATCCTATGCTTTAGTGATGATCCCCATATCTCTATCAAGGATCTAATCCCATGCATGCATTTCTTCAAAGACTTCTAAGGCATCAATTCAAATCTGAATTGATCACCAATTGAATTGTGCAAGTTATCTCTAACCTTGCATCTAATTCAGTTCTTGAATAGTAGATCTGAATTCCTAGAGTCTTTCTCAAGCACTTTAAGAATTCCAAGCTTAGATCAATTCGGTCAATTTGAAAATTTGCATATCTGAATTCTCTTTCAAGCAATTCAGATCTTGCAATCTCAGATCTGAGAATTCAGATCTGAGTTTTGAAAGTTTAATTAGCTGAATTGATCTACAATTAACCCCTATTCAAGAAACTTCAAGAACAATTCACACCCATTCGAAAGAATCAAAAAGAAATTGATTGTTGAACTGAAATTTTACAAACTTAATTACATCAAGAAAGAATGAAAGAGGAAGAAAGAAAAAAATTACAACAAAGAAACTGAATTCGAATCAAAGGAAAATGAAACTAGAATGTAATTATTACATTAGATCTCTGAATAAAAAACCCTCAATTTCGAACTCACCCTCTCTTCTTGCTAGCTTGACTTGAACTCCTTCAGCCCTTCTTCTTCTCCTCCTTGCGCCTAGTCCTTCTTCTCTTCTCTTCTCTTCAATGTGTTCGAACCTCTAGGAGTGAGAGAGACTTAATCTCAAGCAAATGAACACCTTCCCCCCTTCTAAAGGCCTCCTTATATAGATTTTCAAGGGGGCTCTTGCGCCTTCTTGAAGTCTCTAGAATGGGGTGTATTACACCCCCTTCTTGAACTTTCTAGAATTCTCTTGAAAGCCTTCTAAGAGTTGTCGCCCCTAGCTCTTTGGGCTGCTATTTGGGTTGCACTTAGGCTCCCTCTTAGCACATGATAGCTACACTCTAGGCTGCTCTTTTGGGCTGAGAATGGGCCTTCTCTGCTAGGCCAAATTTTACTCTTTGCTAGGCTTTCTTTTCTTGGGTTTTTTCAAGGAATCAACTTATACTTCTTGGGACAAAGTGTGCTCTCTTGCTTCCATAACCGGGCTGGGCTGAATTTGGTCTTTTTGGACCTTTTTTTCTTACCTTTTGCCTTCTTTTTCTTGGATTAATTACCCCTGAAATCTTTCCTTAGCATTAAGCTAAATTAGAACAAAATTAAATAAAATCGGCATAATAATTCATGCAAAGTCCTCATAAATTATAGATAATTTGTATGTTTATGAATAGGTATCCCCGTCTTTCCCTTCCTTTCCCTACCTTTTCCTTCAAACCAAACATAGCCTAAATGTAGAGCATCCCAAGTGTACCAGCTTGTAAGAGCAATAAATGCTCTTTTTGTCTCATTTGAACAACCCAATCAAGGTAATAAATACTAATGCAAATAGGTTAAAAGCTTGTTAGGATAAGGGGATGTCTCCTAAACCTTTGGAGATGTCTTCTCACTCATGTCTCAAGGCATGTATCCTGCAGTAGGGGTGTCACTTGGTTTGGAACTATTATTGGGAGATGTTCCTTATTGCTAGGGGACATCCCCTCTGCTAGGGTGATTTCCAAGATATGTCTCTTAGTCCTAGGAGATATCTCCTGACCTATGTTTCTTTTTTACATTTTTGTACTACCCAAGGCTGGTCAATTTGAGACTCCTAGCCAAGAAAACTTAGTTTTAAGCTTGATAATTAGAGAGAGAGAGGGGGAGAGAGGAACTCCCAAACCTAAGTGACACATGTCAAGTTCACATATAACCTAGATAGACACACTTAAGCGCAATATGTAAACTACTTAGAGACTATTTCTTCTTGATGGAATATTCCAACATGATGCTTGGTGAAGCATGTCTTCTCTTTTGACTTGCTTCTTTGATTGATGTAACACATCACAACTTGTTCTTGAGTTGCAAGACTTAGATTAATATTAGTACCAAGGATTAAAGTATCGGTATTAGACAATTTGGATATGGATACGTTTTGGAAACATAAGGATATAAACGAAAATAAGTACACGTGGTTCATCATCACCACAATTATGGTGAGGACGTCAAAGGAAAACCTTGTGGAGAAATCTAGATTGGGACACCTATAATGGCACAAAAACAGTCCACCAAAATAAAGTAGAAAGCTCACATACTTGTGACAAGCACGAGAAGTCACCCAAGGCATGCGATGGGCATAAAACACCTTCTGGGATTTGTGATAAGCATAGAGAAATATCAAAAACCTGCAATGAGTGACGAATGATAATACATAGTAGTGATGGACGAATGATGACACTGTGTGTCTATAATAAACCTGAACATGCCGACTAGACCAAGATCCTGTCTCTAACACGTGGCCGCAAGAGAACCCCTAAGGGGATGTGGCCAGCATGTGCCATATGAGAATCCTTAGAAGAAGGGAAACTTTATTTTAGAGGATCTCGCTGGGCACGTGGCGAAACCCCAATGGCGGTTCCGCAGTCATCAGCATAAAGATAAAGATTCCCTTTCCTAATAGGAAGGGTCTCCCTTATGGATCCTTCTCTTAATAGCGTCGGGATCCCCCTATCAAAAGGAGGGGAAAGTACAACCCCGGGGCATAACTATCATCCTCACTATTACCCAACATTCCTGAGACTCCCGAATAACCAAGGACATAGCCACTACCTCGATAGCTCGACCTATAGCCCCAATCACAACCTCACTCCATCTTTGTCTTTCAAGGAGACCACCCTATACTACCTCACCACCATACTTACACTAACATTAGGTTTACTGTCAAAATAGCTACAAATAGTGTATAGATGCATAAGAATTGTATATTTTAAAGGTATATATGACAAAATATATTACAATTAATATATAGGGATGCATAGATATCATTCAATTTCATTGATAAGCATCAATCAAGATTCCAAGACATATATTATAAAGATTTTTACAAATTAATACATGCACAAAGCCATTATTATCTTATTTTACATTTAAGTCAATGGCACAAACATATGCAACTATTACATTTCAATTATTATATCGTTTTTTCTATTTTACTAATAATGTTTAACAATAACAAAAATGTCAACTAAAAATTAATTCTCAAAATTTTGGTAAACAATATTTTATTTTTGTAAACAATAAATATTCTATTATAAAATTCAAATCAAGATATTAATTTATAAAAATATATGATCCTAACTTAAAATATATCAAATCTATTTAAATTTCGAAGAAACATATTATATGAAAATTTATAAATTTTAATTACTACAATAATTATTTCATTATTAACATTTTTATTTTTATAAATTTATAAAATAAAAAAAATTAATATAAATATAGATTAGTAGATTTGATAGATTCAATTTATATTACATCTTTAAATATTTCTATTTTTGTAAATAATAAATATATGGTTAGCTAATGCAAATTAAAATATTAATTAATAATTTGTAAAACTTTTAAGATATATATCATGTACATGTTTATAAATTTTAAGTATTAAAATAATCATTCTATTATTAATATTTTTCAATCTCTTTAAATTAAAAATCAACTTTTGATATAAATGTGGATTTGATAGATTATTCATTCCATTAGTTTATACAATATTAATTTTAAATATTATTTTTCTTAATTTGTAATTGAAATTGTTGAAGATAAGTGTATGTTGGTTGTTTGGATTTTAAAAGTTAATTTATTTCATTCATTGACATGAGATAAAAGTTGACCTGTAGGTTAAAGATGCATTGCTTTTTGGCACTAGGCAACTTGGGGTCTTAAGTTCAAATCATGTTGAGAGTGTTTTTGCATATTGGACAAAATTTCCTTTATCTGGGTTAAGTGATACCTATCTCTCAGGTGGGTAAATAACTTTCCCACCTAGAAGTAATTTTCAACACTTGGATGGGACAAAATTGCCCTTTAAATAATGGCTTTTTATGACTAAAATGGTCATGGTCTTCCTTACCTGAAAAATAAAAGAACATGAACCTATGAGCTATCCCATTTTAATGATCTCAGCACATGATTAAAGTTCACAAAACCCAATTCCAGAGGTTCAAAATATTATATCAACAAAATGAAGACAGAAGCATGGAATATCAAAGTCTTTTCTTTAAGCGCTGCAATAACATCCCGAGAGTCTGAGGGCAAAATAGATGTTTCATCAAGAATGGTAGGTAAGCCCACATAAAGTTTCCAGTTTCATGGATCAATTTGTTTATCAAAAACAAAGCGGCTTGGAGGATGCACCAGCCTTAGATATACACTTATAAGACAACAATAAAGAGAGAATAAAATTAGCAAGTTCAAGCAAGGCCATATGGTCGATCTCAACCTTTGAAGACAAGGAAGCGTTTTGGGGAGTAAAGCCTGAACAAATTGAAGGCTGAGAAAGTTGATATCATAATCATTAGAATGGATGCAACGAGGCCGCAGGTGAGGGAACCTCCAATCTGAAAACAAAACCTTTTATAAATCCTGCACACCTTCATCCATTGGAAATCTCTTGACCCAGTTACTGCTAACATTGATGCCTGAGCGGCAGCCACGGTTGCTCCAAAGTTAACATAGGTTACTATCTGTAACAGATCAGAAAATAAGAAATTAGGGCCTTAAAGATTGGATTTCAATTGGGTGCACCTAAATCCCCATTTGATTACTTGGTTTGAGGGTGGCAAGGTTCTAAATATCAATACGCCTGATACACCGATAGGGGCGCATCGGGCAGTATCGGTACTGTTTTTTATTTTTTATTTTTTATTTTTTCAAATCCGGTTTAAGGGGGACCAGTTTAAAGTTCCTCCTCCCACTGAAACGGTCAAAACCCCGATACACCCTCTGTAGGGGTGTATTGGGGTGCTCCCAATACGACATGTATCTACCGATACGGGCACATACGTAACCATTTTTTGAACCTTGATGGGTGGTAAATGGATAAGTTGAGTAGGGTCAGATGTGGGTTGAATTTTCATTCACCAACCATGGGTTCGGCTATGATACTGAAAATACATCATACCAGAAAGTTTTTCAATCAATATCATATAAAAGGTGACCAATCTGATGGGGTGTTCTAATTGGTTAAACCTCTTCCAATACCATGTCTTTCCAGTATCATATATTTTTCCTTCATAAAAAATAAAATAGGGCTTCTCAAAACTCAAAACACAATAAGCAATAAGCAAGATTTTTGGCTTTTTAGGTGTAAAAATTGCTTTTTCTGGTATGATTTCTTTCCAATATCATAGGCGAACCCTTTGTATTGAAAGAAGCATGTTAAACAATTACCAATTTTAATAAAACGATCTACTTGATTGCAATTAACAAACGGGGAAGGTTCCAGCAATGGTGAGTAGGACTGTAATTAGATTGGACTTGGATCGGATGCAGCAAAATCCATATTTGATCCAATTACTGATAGCATACATCTGATTCCGATCCGAAATCTGATTGGATTTAACGACTTGTATTCAAATCCGAATCCTAACAGACTCAAATTGGATTCGAATTTAATCCAATTCTGTTATAAATTTTCTAAAATACCAGAAAGATAAAAAATTTATTTATTTTTGAACCGTTATATAATAAATTAATATAAATATAGAACACTAAATTTATTATATATATTCACATAAGATATAATATATAGAATATATTTTATAATTTTAAATATAATTATATAAAACTTATATATTAAAATTAATAAATATTATATTATAATTGGATTTGAATTTTAATCTGATTGGATAGAATTAAATCCAAATCCAATCTGATTATTAATCGGATATAGATTATAACATTTAAATCCGATCCGATTGCATATATACACCATCCGAATCCAAAATAATTAGATTTGAATAGGCTTCAAATTTTTAGATATATTGACAGGCCTAATGATGAAAAACTTTTGAGGAGGTACAACTACGTGATTAGAGTGCCATGATTGAAGGGGGTAAACTTTGGTTGTTGGGGCCTAATAGCATAGGCTATTGAGACAGTTTCTAGGGTGGACACGTTCTGGGCAGTTCACACGCCCATGCTTTGGTTTTTAGTCAAAAACACCCTTCTTGTGAATTTCTGAGATCATTCTCAAGTAGCTGAACGTCTCTCCACAATGACATCACATGGACAGCAAATAACAGATTCAAATTTTCCGACAACCACATTCTTTAGTGATGATTTTACTCTGTAGAATGATCTAAAAAATACATGAGAAGGGTATTTTTGATATTATGTAATGTTTAACCGACAAAATACTAACAGATGGACCCAAGGGTCTATTTTTTAGAGTTCAGGATACTCAAATGTTGCAATTGAAAGTTTAGGACTTTAGGGTACCTATCTGTCATTACCCCCAAAGTACAAGGTACCTATCTATAATTTACCCTTAAAATTATTACTTTAATTTTAAATTTTAATATTAATAAAATTTTAAGATTTTAAATGTTAAATTAATAAAATTATGACTATGATTTAAAAATAATTAATAAAAGTCATCATAGACAAGTAGGTCACCAAAAAATGATGTTTTGAAATGGCTTGAATTGGGAATGCCATTCAACTCACTCTGCTTTAATTTTGCTTAGCAAAGCCCATGCATAGAAAATTACTTTCCCTCTCCCTTCCCTCCCCATTTATTGTTGTAAGAACTAAAATTTAATAAAATATAGAAATACACAAATGAAAATATACATATATTTTGCTTAAAAAAACAACATTCAGGCACATGTATAATATCATATAATTATCATATTAAACAAAAAGTAAGGGTGATGTATCAGAATGATTTTTATACACAGGAATACAAAAACAATTATAGAAAAAATTGAACACGTATATAATTCTATATTTACACTACAATTAAAAACATGAACAAGATTGTGGAACTTTCTTTTTACTAAAATACTCATATTTGAATTTATTCCATTTTTAATTGTGAGGTTTAAATTGTAAATTGAACTACTACTTTTCACCTCATTCAATTCCTTGTATTTAAATCTTACATTTTTTTTCTAAATGAACAAAAAATATACACTAAAAAGATAAAACATTAGAAAAAGAAGAATCTAGCCAAGAAAGTAGGCCTATCAATACTTGAAACTTCACAACTCAATCCAATTATCACATATTTGGATATAATGTTTTGTAATCAGCTTTGGATTTTTTCAATATACATCCAATTAATAATAAGAAACAAAAAATAATAAAAATACAATTTATAGAAATTTTTGGATACATTATTACTATCACTATCATTGTCTAGTTTAATAAAAAGACACAAAAGTACTTCTTTTGTTCAATAGTTGGGAAATAATCTATATCAAAAATATCATTTTACATTTTTCATTTAATGCTTATTTATACTATTAATAAAAGTGTAAATAATTGTGTGAAACTTTTGTTTGACTAAATTACCCCAATTTTTGAATTTGGTTCTTGTTTAGTTTTAAGGACATAAATATAACTTGAAAAACCACTTTTCTCCTCATTCAGATCCCTCTCATTAAGTCTCATATTTAAAGTATTTAACTACCATTAATATTAATTAAAACATTTTCTTGACTAGAATACCCCTATTTTTGAATTTGGTTTTGTGAGGGCACAAAATCTAATTTGAACTATCACATTTCTCCTCATTTAATTCCCTCGTCAAGTCTTATCTTAGGGTATTAACTCCTATTTTTTATTGAATACTATATTTAAGATATTATTTTTACAAAATAAAAATAGATAAATTCTATCAATTAGATCTACATCAATACTTTTAATGATATAAAATACATAGTTTTTAAAAAATTACCTAAAAATGGAACCATTTTTCTATCATGATGACGAGTAAGCAAGTCAACCATTCAGGTCAAGTGGGCTTACTCCATGATATCAAAATTAAATAAAAAACTTTTAAAATATAAATAAATAACAAATATAGAATAATTGGACAAATCTCTAATGTTATATATATATATATATATATATATATATTAATCATATTAAAGAAAAATAAGTGTCATAAATAATAATTATTCTTATTGGTGTTGGAATGTACAAATTTAAAAGCAATCAAAAAATAAAAATTATTTATGTGGTGGTGGGTCAACAATTTAACCTTTTGAGTCAAATGTGTTAACCCTTGATTTCATAGTTAATTAAAAATGAAAAATATAAAAACACAAAATTATTATGTAATAATATGGAATTTTGTAAATAACATTTAGGCACATATCTAATATTTTAAATTATTCAAATTAAATAAAAATAATAATGATAAATAATAATTTCGTTATTGATGTTGGAAATAAAATATAAAATTTAAAACCAACTCAAAAATGAATTTTTTTTCCCGATGGTGGGTAAACAATTAAACCTTTCGCCCTTTTGGTTTATATCTGTCAACCATTGATTTTATAATTAAATAATAAAAGTTAAAGGCTAAAAACAAAAAATATATTAAAAAGATAAAAGCTCTATAGAAAACACTTGGACACATCTCTAATATTTTATATTAATCATATTCAAAACTAAACACAATAAACAATAATTGTTTTTAACTTTTTATCAATGATATAAATACAATACAAAATTCAAAACTAAACACAATAAACAATAATTTTTTTTAACTTTTTATCAATGATATAAATACAATACAAAATTCAAAACTAACACAAATGTGAAATTATTTCCTATCTGGTGGTAGATTAATTCGACATTTTAGGCCAAATGTGTCAACTCTTAAAATTATAATTAAATTATAAATTTTCAAAAAGATAAAAACACAAAAATATACAAAAAATATATAAATAATGTGGAAAACATTTGGGCATATCACTATATCAATGAACCATAATAAGTATGACAAATAAAATTAATTTTTATAGACATAGAAATATAAAAAATTATAGAAATTTTTAGAAACATATTATATACCATCATCATAAAAAAAAAAAGAAATAAAAAAATAGTACAGACATACATTTATATGCATGTTCTCTAGTTGCAAGAAACTTTGGAGGGATACATAATTATTTGCCGTTTTATGAAAGTTTATAAATTAAACCATATTTATCTACTAAAAGAATTAAAAATTATAACAAAAGAATGGAGTTCAAAATCTGAGGAGAAAAGAAAAGAAATGGGAAAAAAATGTCACAAATAATATAGCATTTAATGTTATATATTTTAAACAGAGAGGATGTAACACATTTTTAAAGAGACGTACTGATTACTATATAATAGTTAAGGTGGTATTTCATGTACCATTTTCTTAGAAGGCAAAAACTATGTATAAGAATCAACAATCTACTACGTACTAAATTATAACTAGTTGCGTCCTGCCTTGACTTTGTATAAACTATAAAGTCCATCATAACTATGTTTGAAAAACTTATCTTTCCAATCAAATGAAATAAAAATAAAGAAAAGAAAACCTCCGAAAAGAAATATGGAAACGAGAATTTCCCAATAATCGAAACAGAGTTGCGTTTACTTTGTACAAACTATAAAGTCCACCTTAACTATGTTTTGAAAAACTTATCTTTTCATTCAAATAAAAAAAAAAAATAAAGAAAAATTCCACTATGTGAGAATAAAATCTCTAATTGACAAACCAAAGGAAAAGAGAATTTCCCAATAGCCAAAAAAGAGTTGCCTATTTTCAACTTGTCATTGATCCGAACAGTCGAATCTAGGAATGGCAATGGGTGGGGTGGGGTCAGGTTTTGCTTGTTCTGTCTCTGACCCTAAACTCAAATGCCCTTCCCTATACCCCAATAAGACTAGAAATCCCAACCCCGTCCCTGTCCCCCTGAGAAATGGGGATCCCCAAATTTATCTCTCCTCACCTCGGTCATTCCTACATGTAAATACCATCCTTGCCTTAACCAGAGCGGGATGGACAAATACCACCCTTTCCCCATCCTCAGTCGGAGACCAATCGGGTTTCCAAGTTTGGTTTTCATAAAACTTGGCATTTCTTCAAATAATATTGACATGGTGAAAACTATCTCTGCCAGGTGGTTGAATAGTTGACTCGTTTGACCCGGTTATCTTGTCACAGTTTAACCAATAAAATGTATTGAAACTTTTGAAGGCCATAATTTTGCAGTTGGATTGATTAATCCGTTTGGGGTGATCTTTATATCAATTTTAGGAAACTTTTCAAGATCTATGCATTTGAAAATGCCAAAGATGCCTTACCCCACTATTTTTTGCCAAAAAAAAACCATTTTCACCTCAAAATTCAATTTTTAGCATTTTTACAAATAAAATATTAAAAACTGAAATAAAAAATAAATTAAACATGAAATAAAGGTATGTATGCATTACATGTCACCAACTATAATGACATATCTAACATGTCATGGTCTGATTCATTCTGAACAATCAAACCAATCCCACAACCCAGAGGAAAAAATGATTCATTGAGTCTTTAAAATATTGGCCAATAATATCATCTTCATTATAGAAAAGGCCCTTCACTTAACTTCTTTATTCTCTATTATCATGCATGAATTTTAAGCAAAGTTTTAAGTTTCTATCATAAATAATGGTGCATTTTTAGTCATTAAAACCCAACTGAACCCCAACTACCCATATTAATTGGGGAGTGGGGGTTGTGAGGTGGACTCACAACCGTTCGTGCATACAAAGCAAAAGAGGGAAATAAATACAAAAAAGGCCCAGATAGGATGGTTTCAACCATATGAGCTTCAAATATTTTCTGTTGATTGCAGACTTGCAGCAAGATTTCTTTTAGCCATTCAAAAGAGGGTATTCATAATTTTTTTTTCTTTTTTTATTTTGATGACAAGATTTCATCACTTCAGGTCTCACAAACACTAACTCTTTCCATTATTAAGTCGTGGAATGTCTTTAGTATCATGTGGGGTGGCTATGTGTAGCAGATATGCATTCATATTTTGCTGCTTCTTTGCAACTTACAACTAAATACAAAGAACCCAAAATTTAACCATTACACCAAGCAATTGCCTTTTGTATACATTTAGCTACAAACTACCATTATTCATACAAGAAAAAGATGGATTTGCATCAGAGTTATGTGATAGTGTGGGATTTACCTGGTCTAACATGAAACAAATCCATGCCTGAGTTTCATATGAGATGGCTTTCTTTTCTTTGAATCGAGGAAAGGCAAAATATTTGCCTAGTTGGAGAAGATGATAGAAAGCAGTAACAGACTCCACAATCACCAAAATCCTAAAGAGGGAGAAATCGAAGGAAAAAGAAGAACAAGTAAAGAAACAAAAGCAATGGTTCATCATACGTTATTGTCATACTCAAATATGCAGAGATTAGAGAGAGAGAGAGAGAGAGAGAGCATACACGAGAGCATCTAAGTCTTTGACGGTTGCTTTCCTCTCAACAGAGAAAAAGACATGCTTGGTTTGTGTGTTTGTTCCGACAAGACAAGCTGTTAAAACTAAAACTCCAATGGCGGAGAGCCTCAGAAGAGCCTCTGTCTTCAACATCCCATTCTCCATTTCTGTGTTTGTGTGTTTTCAAGTTCCAACCACGTGCAGTTATACTTTTGTAAGCCACAAGTCGAGCAGTTGAGTGGTAGAGATAAAAATGAGAAAGAAATAAATTGTTGGATGGAAACCGGAATGGTTGTTCCCTGGGGAGATGATGATGGGATCTGCTTCTCACACATAGGCGTCTCGCACGTACATCTACTGTGCATTAGGAATATCTCCCATGAATAATAATTTATAAGTACGGAAAATATTCCTAATACATGGTAGGATGTGCATATGAGATCGGTGTGAGGCACCCTGTGTGAGGAGTAGATCCGGCCTTGGGGAAATGGGACTTGCCAACTGCCTTTATTGAAACCTGAATGAAGACTGTTGGGATTTCATGCCAATACCCTACCAACACAATAACGCTGTAGTACTCTACTGTATACATGTGGTGTCAGATCATTTTAGTAGTGTATTGGAACGTTGACAGATGATTCCAACTCGAGAGTCTAGACCTATTCCTGACATCAACCGGCGCATCTCACCTGTATTGGAATTTCCTGTATTATTTATGAAAGATGTTCCTAATGCAGTCGATGTGCCTGTGAGGTCGCGGTACGGGGAGGAGCGGATCCCAATTACGATCCCAACTCGGTCACCATGTTGGGAGGGGTAACCCATGAAACGTATTGTGACACGTAGAAGGTCCGAAGCTATCAATTGTAGTTGCCATCAATACAAGAGTACCATGCCGGTCCACACCTAACAAATTTTGCTACGACCACACCCTCACCCATGCTGTATGGTCCCCACGAGGAAAACAGAGAATTAGCAAAAGATAGAAATTTATTCCCTGCTCGAAGTAAGGATAGGTAAATGAACTGTGCATTAATTTTTCCTCTTTTCTTATAAAATTCATCTTGTGTTATTTTAATATTTTGTTATTTTTTACACCGTTATTACCGGTGAAATTTAACCAATTCTTAGAATTAATCATGTTGTTCAAAAATTAAATAGACAAATGATTAATTAATAGCATAAATTAAATTATTAAAAATATACTTTAAATTTACAAAAATTACAAAGGCAAAAGAATAAATAAAATAAAATAAAATTGTTTCATGTTTGGTGGGGTTCTCCCAAACAGTGGTAACATTCAATCGAAAGGCTACTACTATTCATGGGGACCATATTCCATGGATTCCATATCCAGTCCATCTCACCCAAGATCACTGATAATGGGGTTATGATTTGGCAATTAAATTGGCCTTCTAGAAACGCCAATGGATGCGTAAAGAGTTAGTTCAGAAGTAGTTAGGCATTGAATATAAAGCATCATTTGGGAAGAGTGCAAACACAAAAATGTTTTGCACTACTGAACATTTTTGTAATTGCACTCTTCCCCAGTGGAACCAGCATTTAGTGGGCACAATAGTTTATAATACAGTACAAATATAAGGTTTATAATATAACATACAAAGTTTTGCACTGTATATATGTATATTTGTACTCTTTCTAAACTGAGCCAAATGAAAATTTTTATGTTCAATATTAATATCCCTCAGTTGTAAAGAAAATTTGGAACGGCCAATATAATATTTTTTTCTCTATTTTGGGGTTTATTTATTGAAGTGGGGTTTTCTATGGGGTTGTTTAATAACTAGTGAAGTTGCTTAACTGAATGATTTATTACTTTATTCTTTAGTCGATAAATAATTAAAAATAATAAAGCACTCAAGGGTATAATGGCCTATCCAACTTCAGCTTCAACCATTAAAAATATCCCAACACCATAAAATCTTATTCACTAAAAGATAAGGCAATAAGCTTCTCAGTTCAGCCACTTCAACTACTGTTAATATCAAATGGCCCACAGGAGACCAGTAGAAGTTTGACAAATTTAATTATGATGTTAATGGCTTCTTCTCAATTTTGACTCAAACTAGGGATGGATGGAACCATCCTTGGTAATTTATTGGTGGGTCAATATGGGTCGAGCAACTCATTAGGGTCAGTAGAAAAGGGTTAGAGTGGGTTGGGTCGAAGGTAACCATTAGGGTCAAGATGGGTTCGGTCACTCTATCTATACTCGCCAAATCTCAATACAGAAGTTGTAGAGATTTGAACCCAAGCCTCATAGAGTGCTAACATCTCATAACACTTCCAAACCACTGTGCCACATTTCATTTTAAGAATAAAAGTGAAATAAAATAGATTTAAGTAACTTTCATTTTCACATGCAATTTTATACAAAAGCAATTCTATAAGGTAATTTTATGAAAATGACTTTTATGAAAGCACTTTTACACAAGTACTTTTACACAAAAGTACTTTTATAAAAGAACTTTTACAAAAGCACTTTATGAAAGTACTTTTACGAAAACATTTTTATGAAAGCATAGAAGCACTTTTATAAAGAATACTTTTATGAAAGCACTTTTACAAAAGTACTTTAACATGAAAGCATTTTTATTAAAGTACTTTTACGAAAATATTTTTATGAAAGCATAAAAGTACATTTACAAAAGTACTTTTATGTAAGTACTTTTACATAAAAGTACTTTTATAGTACTTTTACATAAAAGTACTTTTATAGTATTTTTATGTAAGTACTTTTATAAAAGTGCTTTTATAGTATTTTTATGTAAGTACTTTTATAAAAGTGCTTTTATGAAAGCACTTTTACAGAAACACTTTTATAAAAGCATAAAAGCACTTTTGTAAAAGTACTTTTACACAAAAGCACTTTTATAAAAGTACTTTTATGAAAGCATTTTTATGAACGCTTAAAGCATTTTATTAAAGTGATTTTATGAAAGTACTTTTATGAAAGCACTTTTATAGAAGTACTTTTGTAGAAGTACTTTCATAAAAGTACTTTTGCGAAAGAACTTTTATAAAAGTTATGCATTATTTTGCAATTTCTGTTATTTTCTGCATTTTTTGTAATTTTTTTATTTTTCTGCATTTTCTACAATTTTTTGTGCTTTTTTCCATAATTTTTGCATTTTTTGGTGTTTTTCATGCATTTCCTACAATTTTCTATTTTTTTGCATATTTTCTGATTTTTTCTGCAAAAGTTCTGAATTTTCAATTTTTTAGTATTTTTCATAAATTTTTGTATTTTTCTACAATTTTTTGATTTTTTTTTTGCATTTTCTGTCATTTTTCTTCAATTTTCTGCATTTATCTACAACTTTTGTATTTTCGGGTATACGGGTTGACTTGACTTGTTTTTGTCACGTGATAGTCTTGAAAGAGATTATTCTCTCAAAATTTATTATTTTGCATATATGGGTCATCCCGACCCATTTTTGTATCTATAAGTGAGGGTAGGTGGGTTAGTGTGGGTGAGGGTGGTTAAAGGTCAATATGGATGGGTCAAGTGGGTCAATATGAGTGGGTTAGGGTTAGGGTGGGTTATGACCTTTTTAACTATGATTGGTGATGGGTCATGGTGGGTTGGTGGGTTAATATAGGTGGGTTGATATTCAACCCTTACCCAACCCAACCCAATCCACCCATTTGCCACCCTTCATCACCTGATTTTTTTTTTTTTTTTGAAATGAAAATTTAGGAAAACCTGATATTTTTACAAAAAAAAAGAATTTTTCTTGGTGACTCCTAGCATAATGGGAATGATATTCTTTGGGTCCAGGGGCTAAGGTACGGTACAGGAAGGTGTTAAGCACACGTGTCTGGTTAAACCGGTCTGTACTTCACCTATGCTCCAAGAAAGATTTTTATAACTTTGAGCTTAAGTTGGAGAGAAAATTACCACACACACAAAAAAAAAAAAAAAAAACTATTTATCTATGAAGAGCAAAAATTAGCAGTAAGCAAAGAGAGAACTAAAATTAACATTCAAAACTCAATTCTAAATGAGTATAAAAAAAACCTAGGAAAGCATTGATTCTAAAAGGACAAGTAAACCAAGAGCAAGACTAACCATTACAAGATGAATGGGAGATTAATAAACTCTTAGATGATGGTGGCTAAATACTAAAGAGTACAAAATAAAATGATATATGCTGAAATGTAAGAAGAAAATGTGACTTAATTCAAAGACTATCTAGTTGGAAAGATGATGGCTAGGACTGATTGAAATTGTTTTGAACTATTCTATTAGCAGTGCAAGGGAAACTGATAACTAGTGTAAATGTAAACGTTGTAAGTAGACAAATTCCACGGTGAGTGATGGGACTATCAATGGGTTTAGAAAAGTAGCTGAAATGATGCTTTAACAAAAGACGTTCAGATTAGCGGTGGGACTACTGATTAAACTAGGTATCCAACTCCAAGTGAGACTCTAAGTTTGGAATGGGCTAGATCATCATAATTAATGAATACATGAACTCCTACCTTCAAAGGTGAGAAATGGGCTAGATGAATAATTAATGAATACATAAACTAAATGATGCCATAAAATAGTGAACAAAAATTATAAAAGTATTGAGATTTAATTATGCAGCGGGAATTGACCTAGTGAGACTAATAAAGAAGAGCTGGAATTAACTAAGCTTAGAATAATACACACAGATAATCCAACATTGAAGTGTTAAAGCTATCAATGGATTAAGTGGTGGTGCAAGGAGCATAATAAAACACCAGACGACTAACTGATAAAACCAAATCCTAATTGAAACTAGAAAATAAGGCTATGTTTGGTTTGAAGGAAAAAGTAGAGAAGGAAGGGAAAAGTAGGGAAACCTTTACAAATCCTGTATAGGTTTCCCTACCTTTCCCTTTCTTTCTCTACGTCATTTTCCTTCAAACCAAATATAGCCTAAAGGAATTAGGACTAAATGAGTGATGTATGCTCAAGATGGATGGGAAATAATGCCAAATGTCATGATGCAAGGAACTTCCTGGGTAGGCTTTATGATAATTTCTAATGGGCCGGGGAATGATCTAGCTATATGTTAATGAAATGATAATGAGGGTTTACACAAATTACATATGTTTTAAGTGAGTTAATAATCAAGCTAGTGATCAAACAAGCGTGAATTCAAGTTGTTTGCTAATATTAACCCCTATGACATTACAAGACTAAGGTATAAAAACTTACACAAAAGTCCAAAAAATAATTAATAATAATAAGACAGAAAAAAAAACAAGGGCTTTTTGCATAAAAGTTAAAAAAAAAAGTTTAGCAAATATGCAAATTAAGTGAACTCTGTAGGAAGGTTGGA